ACCTGTCCCAGGCTGTGTTTTCACTCAGTTGGAGTTTTTTGGGATAAACCACAGGGGGATTTAGGAGGATGAAGCTGTCCTGGGATTTTTGGGATAAACCACAGCGTGATTTGGAAGGATGAAGCTGCCTTGGGATTTTTGGGGTTAACCAGAAGGTAATTTAGGAGGATGAAGCTTCCCTGGGATTTTTGGGATAAAGCACAGGGTGATCTGGAAGGATGAAGCTTCCCTGGGATTTTTGGGATAAAGCACAGGGTGATTTCCTTGATTTAGGAGGATGAAGCTGCCCTGCCCAGCCCACACCTGTCTCACACTGTGTCTCCACTCTGTTCCAGATTTTTGGGATTTTTGGGATAAACCACAGGGGGATTTGTAAGGATGAAGCTGCCCTGCCCATCCCACACCTCTCCCACGTGTGTCTCCATTCCATTGCAGATTTTTGGGATTTTTTTTTTGGGGAGTTTTGGGATAAACCCCAGTGTGCCCAGGCTGAGCAGTGACACCTCCCCACAGAGGGCCGAGGATGATGATGATGATGATGATGATGATGACGGGGCACAGGGAGGGGACCCCGCTGGTGCTGCAGGGTCACACCCAGGCTTTGAGCTGGCGACTGCAGCCCCTGGCCCAGCACAGAGCCCCCTCCCCAGGGTGGCAGCAGGGATTTTTGGGATAAAGCACAGGGGGATTTGGAAGGATGAAGCTTCCCTGGGATTTTTGGGATAAAGCACAGGGGGATTTATGGGGATGAAGCTGCCCTGCCCATCCCACACCTGTCCCACACTGTGTCTCCATTCCATTGCACATTTTGGGGATTTTTGGGATAAAGTACAGAGTGATTTAGGAGGATGAAGCTTCCCTGGGATTTTTGGGATAAACCAGAGGAGGATTTGGAAGGATGAAGCTTCCCTGGGATTTTTGGGATAAAGCACAGGGGGATTTGGAAGGATGAAGCTGCCCTGCCCATCCCACACCTGTCCCACACTGTGTCTCCATTCCATTGCACATTTTGGGGATTTTTGGGATAAAGGACAGGGGGATTTAAGAGGATGAAGCTGCCATGCCCAGCCCAAACCTGTCCCACACTGTCTCTCCATTCCATTGCAGATTTTTGGGATTTTGGGGGAATTTTTTGGGATTTTTGGGGGATTTTTTGGGATACACCACAGCAGCGCCCTGGCTGAGCAGCGACACCTCCCCACAGAGGGCCGAGGATGATGATGATGATGATGATGATGATGATGACGGGGCACAGGGAGGGGACCCCGCTGGTGCTGCAGGGTCACACCCAGGCCTTGAGCTGGCGGCTGCAGCCCCTGGCCCAGCACAGAGCCCCCTC